TTTTCGGGCCCCGCTCGTTCCGAATCGTGCTCCCGCTGCAGCGTGGGTCTCATTTTCGGATCGGTGTTTTGCCTCCGTCGTTCAGGATGGCGTTCTCGCCCCAGCGCGGGCCTCTTTCTCGCGCGACCATCCGCCCGCCACCACCGCACCGCGCCCCACCCCGCCCACCGCCACTTCCACCCACCAACGCACGCACGCACGCACGCACGCACGCACGCGCACCGCCACCACCACCCCACTACCCCACCCACCACCACCACGCTACACCGCGTCACACCACATCACACGCGCGCGCACAGACACGCACGCACGCACGCACGCACGCACGCACGCACGCACGCAAGCACGCACGCACGCACGCACGCACACAAACACACCACACACAACCTTACACACGCCCACCCACACACCACACCACACACACACGCAAACACACCCCACCACCACACCACCGGCACCACCACCACCGCCACAACGAACGCCACACCACTCACACCCACAGCACCACGCGCACACGCGCACCACACACACCCACACAACCACCACCACAACACACCACCAACCACAACCACAACCACAACCACAACCACAAACCACAACCACAAACCAAACCACAACATCAAACCATCAACCAAGCAATCACACGCACGCGCGCACGGCACCACCACCCACTACGCACGCGCGCGAGGATCCACAGGTCCGCTACGGATCCACAGGTCCGCCACGACACGCGTCCGCGGATTTAGAAAATCAGCGCCATGGTAAGGGATGGGAGGGAGGGGTAGGACGTCAGATATGACGCGAGCGCATTTAGCTTGTCCCCTCCCCTCCCCCTCCTCTTCTTCCCCCCCCCCTCCTCCTTCTGCCCCTGCTCCCCCTCCTCCTCCCCCTCCTCCTCCTCCTCCTCCTCCTCCTCCTCCTCCTCCTCCTCCTCCTCCTCCTCCTCCTCCTCCTCCTCCTCCTCCGCCTCCCCCCTCCACTCGAGGAAGTGGCGCTCCCTCGAGGAAGTGGCGACCCCCCTAGGGGTGCTCCCCGTGGCATTGCCCGAGAGGTCTGAAAGCTTCGGTCCTGGATCTCCCTGGGGGGGGGAAGGTGGGGGCGGAGGAGGAGGAGGAGGAAGAGGAGGAGGAGGAGGAAGAGGGGCACCTTATTCGAAGCACGGGAAGGGGGCCTTATTCGAAGCACGGGAGGAGTATGGGTACGGGGGGGGGGCGTTCGTGCAGGAATTTGCCAAGGATCATATGAGAAACAAAGACGGCACAAACATAAATGTTTGACGCTCCGCGCGAATTTCTTGGATCTGCGCTGGGCCCCCGTGGCGGCGCCTCCGGCGCCGCCCCTGGCGCGCTCCGCACGCCAGGGAGGGGGTCCAGCGAAGATCCAAGAAATCCGCGCGGAGCGTCAACAGTTTATGTTTGTGCCATTTTGGGTTCCTCCAACTGAGTCTTCAGACCTTGGAGGATTCATTATCTGATGAGGGCGGCGGTGATATCATGGCCATGCCTCAACTGGTATTTCACTGGCGTTCCGACCCTGGATTCTTTATCCATCGATTCCTTTTCCAGTGTCCTCACCGTACCTCGGGACGTCCGTGCACGCATGGCTACCTTTTCCAGTCCCAGCGCTGAGGGTCAGGGCTTCTCGGGACCTTGAGGGTCAGGCGCTCTGGCTGCTGTTCCCTGCCCCCATCGGTGCCACGCCCTTAGTGCTGGGTGTTTCTGGTTGGGCCGAGGCTTATCCTCTCTCGGTTGATGCCCTTGGGAAGCGCCTCCTCTCAGAAGCAGGTGAGGCTTTCGAGTCGGCCTCGGATGCAGGTGACAGTGCTTCGGACCTCGAGGAAGGAGAGGGCTAGATATGCCCGCGAAATGGCCTGAGGCCGCTGTCTTTTATGATAGTATGTTAACCAGTCTCATGCCTCCTCCTCCCTCCTCCTTTTCCTCCTCCTCTTCATCCTCCCCCTCCTCCCCCTCCTCATCCTCGTCCCCCCTCTTCCTCACCCCTCTTCCTCATCCTCTCTCGCCCCAGCCGCTCTGGCCCAAGTTTTTGGGGCACACTGCGACAGCGTGCTAAGTTGGCCCGTACCCTCAGCAGCCGACGCGCGTCACCCATGGGACCGAAGCAGCGTGAGAAGCAATGTCTCTCGTGTTTCGCAGCCAAGTGCTGCAAAGCGTGGTTCATAACGTTTTCAACAGCACCCGCCCTCTATCCTTGAAGCTGCAGGAGGAGGAGGAGGAGGAGGAGGAGGAGGAGGAGGAGGAGGGGGAGGGGGGGGAGGGGAGGGAGGAGGAGGAGGAGGAGGAGGAGGAGGAGGAGGAGGAGGAGGAGGGAGGAGGAGGGAGAGGAGGAGGAGGAGGAGGAGGGGGGAGGGGGAGAGGGAGGAGGGGGAAGGGGGGAGGGAGGAGGAGGAGGAAGGAGGGGGGCGGGGGCGGGAGGAGACACCTCGGTCGCCCTCTATCCTTGAGGCTGCAGACATTCAGAGACGAGCGCGCGCGGCGCTCAGGCGATACCCACATTTCGAATAATAAGGACCGCCCTCCGTCCTGGAAGCTGCTGCAAATTTCCAGGCTCCGGGGTCATACACGGTGGGGAAGTTCTCCGGCGAGCCGGCACGTCTGGGGTGTGCGAGAGGGAGGAGTCGTCTCCAAGGAAGAGTGATGGAGGAGGAGGAGGAGGAGGAGGATTTTCTTTTTGGAGGAGGAGGAGGAGGAGGAGGAGGAAGGAGGAGGAAGGAGGAGGAGGAGGGGGCAGGAGGGGGGAGGCGGAGGAGGGAGGAGGAGGAGGAGGGAGGAGGAGGAGGAGGAGGAGGAGGAGTAGGCGGGGGGGAGGAGGAGGAGGAGGATGGAGGAGAGGAGGAGGATGGAGGAGGCGGCAGGAGGAGGAGGAGGAGCGGGGAGGAGCGGGGAGAGGAGGAGTGGGGGAGGGAGGCGAAGCGCGAGCTGGGGAGAGCAGTGGCGATGGGGATGCTGGAAGGGGAGGGGACGGAGAGTGGGACGCCTTCCCGCCCCCTCTGGGGTCAGGAGCGGACCGAGACGGGCTTCGACTTCGTGGTCGAGGTGCTCGTCCAGGCCATGCCCAAGAAGCGCCCAGAGGACGCACTCCACCGTGGCCCTCCTCGCTCCCGCTTCGGGCGGGGCCAGGACGAGGAGAAGTCCGCTCCAGATTCCCAAAAACGCTCTGACATCTTTCCAGGACGCGCTGAGAAGGCCGCGGCGCCCGAGACATCCTCCAGAACCGGGCGATATCAAAGATTCTCGACGTATCCTCACCTGAATCCGTCCTCGTCATGGCTTCGTATTGCGATTCGCGTTGCAGTCATTCTTTTGGGAAGAAGGCCCCGGGTTGGTCTCGGGAGGGGCCCGGTGTTCTTTGGAACACCCTCGCAAGAGTACTCAGCTGGCGCATGGCGCCGGTCGTGCATCTGGGCGCAGCTGGGGCCCAGACGAGGCGCTGCTCCTCATCCAAGGCTTCGTATGGGAAGGCGTTGGTAGGGCCACGATGAGCCTGTAGCCGTGGACGGGCGGCCGAAGGGGCCCGGGCCGGCTGAATTAGTTCCGCACCCCCGAGGCACATTCTCGCCGTTTGGGTTTGCAATGTGACCCACGCGGCGAGTTCTCTTGTGTTTGCAGTCGTTCCCAATGTTTCCCGCTACCCCCATTGCACATGTTGTCTTCTCATGGATTCAATCCCTCCCTGGTGGGGCTGGGAACATGGGACACCATAGCACAACGTGTCATCGTCAACGTGTAGCACCGAGTATGGTAGCATAACGCATTTCAGCAGAGCATATACTAGTTTGTATGAAGCGGCGCAGGGTGAGGATGAATACGGAATGGCATGGCCAAGCGCAAAGATCGCATCTGGTAAAGTTAGCATGGCACAGTCATTGCATGACGCGGTACATCTAATCATCCTACATTGTTTCGGGACCTTTAGCCCATGCAGCCACCGTACCTGGGCTGTGGGCCAGAGGCCTCTTGGATGCTTCTTGGGGTCTCCTGGAGTACCTCCTTGGGGCCCTCGCGAAAGCTGCTTGCGGCTTGCCTGCTACCTCTTGGGGGCCTCCTGGAGGCCTCTTGGAAGCGTCCGGGGTCATCTTAGCGGTCTTGGGCGTCACGCTTGCACTAGAGGGATCCCGGGGGCAATTCGTGTCCTCCCTCCGGAGCCGACTGCTTTTCAACATCTCGTAATGTTGTTTTCATTGGTTGCTGACATCCCGGAAAGGCACGCGGCGGATCCCGGTCACGCCGCTCGCGGGATCGAGTGGCCCAGAGCCCAGAGGACCTTCCTCACGGTTCCTATCGGGGGTGGACAGACCTCCTACTTTGACACGTCGATTAGCGAATTGGCCGTTTTCGGTTCGCGAGAGGGCGTCGCGGCCGTCATTTTTGTGGGTCCAGGTCCGTCGTTTCGCATCGCGGCATCTCCATTGCCGTGCCGTTACGCACCTCTGCCATGCCGTTGCAGAGCGTGGCACTGTCGCCAAACAAAGCGAGACAGGAAGTGTCATCGCAAACAATACGAGGAGCCCGGGGAGCCCGTGGATTCCAGCAAAGCTGGGGAAGCCAGGAAGCGTGGGGCGCGCCGCTAGGGCGGGGCCTACCCTCCGTGGTTCGCACACCGTCACGCATGGAGATGTCTGGAGCTCCGAAGTGCCACGCGCCCGTGAGAGCTGAACTCAGCGGAATGCCCATCCTCCTCCTCTTCCTCCTCCTCCTCCTCCTCCTCCTCCTCCTCCTCCTCCTCCTCCTCCTCCTCCTCCTCCTCCTCTTGGCCGTTCTGGCCCAGCTTGGGTTTGCTGCAGCTGTCTTCAGAACGGCGTCGCTGCAGCGAGCAAAGTTTGGCTTTAGATCGACCGTTCCCCCTGAGGGAGCACCAGGAAGCACGACCAAGGCGCCGCCGCCATGCCGCCGCCTCCGCCGACGCCAGCGGTCCTCCGCGGGACTCGGCGGCCGACATGGAGCTGCGGCAGATACGCTGCTGTGGCGAGCTGGGCGTCGCGAGTCCGCTGCGAGCGCGGGAACGAGGCGCCAGCTCGGATCAATAATGCTGCCTGAGCTGCCCATACCGAGATTCTCAAGGGCGGCGGCGGCGGCGGCAACAAGCAGACCAAGACCTCGCGCCAGCAGGACGACACTGCAAAGCGCCTGGCTGCGATGGAGAAACTCATCAAGGACCACTTCGGCGGCGGCGGCGCGTCCCAGGCTCCCTCGGCTGGGGGGTCAGAGTCTAGGATGAAGCCGCCGCCATGGAAGTAAAAGGGAGCGGCTGCCAGCCGACCACCCATCGCGGAGGCTGATGACGACAAGGTCAAGCGGGAGAAGTTGGCGGCGCAGCTCAGCCAGTACGAGACGGTCCTCAAGACACTTCCTGGAGGCGAAGGAGATTCAATTCGCGCGGCCACAAGTGAGAAGACCAAGCAGACTCGTGAGCAGCAAGCAGAAGGCACTTCTCACGCCAGCGATTGTTCACAGGCGGACCGCCCAGTGCCTGATCCGGGCGAAACAACAGCGTGACAAGCTGGAGCTCGAGGTGCAGGATAAGACCAAGCGGATCGAGGAGCTGCAGAAAGCCTTGGAGACTCAGCAGGGGCTCCTGGAGGCCAGGAGGAACGAGGTCGACACGGAGTACAAGCGCACGGCCCTTTGCGTTGCGGATACCACGGGGGCCGCTTCCCAAGAGCCGCCCTCATCTCCCATTACGTTCGAGTTTGTGCCCGAGGACGTGGAGGATGTGGGCTTGCAGGCTTTCCTGGGAACGGCGGAGTGGAACAAGCTCAAGGAGATTACCAACGGCAAGCTCAGGAAAACGTTGCCCCAGCGTGCTCCGGCAGGCCGTCCCGCTCTTGTGCCTCTTGGTTACGACGTTCCTAGTGGGGATAGTGAGGACGGCGTTGACATGGCCGTCGACGACGACGAGATCGACCTCGACCTGCTCGAAGGGGAGGACTTCGGCGAGCGCGAGGTGTCCTTCGCCAAGGCCGGCGAGGAGTTGCACAGAGCAGCCAAGGGGCCTCAGGAGCAGCAGGACGAGGCCAAGCGCAAGCACCGAGAAACGGCAGCTCGGCCAGGCGTCAAGCGGGCGCGCGTTACACTGTCGCAGCGAGTTTGAGTTGTTGAAGTGGCCTGAGTTTGGCTCGGTGCCGCCTGCCTGTGGATGGCCTCGGCGAGGCGCCTCGGGGCCGAGGTCGCCGGGTTTGGCCTCCTCTTCGGTGCAAGTATGGCCCCAGGTGGCAAGGGGCGCGCATTCCCCTGGACTGGGAGCCCAGGTGGCCAGAGAGGCGCATTCCTCTGGACTGGGGGTTGCTACTCGTCGGACTCGGGTTGCTACTCGTCGGGGTTGCTCTGGGCGCGGTGATTCCAAGGAGCGCGGGGGGCTTAGTGCAGCGTCGGCGAGGAGTTGCCCGACAGCAGCATCGTCGACCATGGCGACCTACGCGAGGAACGTGACGCACTGGGGGCCTAAGGCCCGCGAGTGGGTGAAAGACCCCCCCCCCTCCCATGGAGCCGCTGCGCTTGGCTCGTTGGAGCACCATGCCAGAGGCACCAAGTTTGATGAGATGTTGCGCGGCTCTGACGGATGCGCGGGGAAGGCCGCAGGTAGACCAGCGCGCCGCGTCAAAGACATCAACAGCTCGGGGGGGCCATCGCGGCGGCTCGTCCGCACCTTCAGTCTGTCTCGATGGGCCGCTTGGCCACGCGCCAAGATCAGACGCGCGGCCAGCTTCGACGTCGCAAGCCTGAGCCTGATTTTCGAGCAGGGCCTTTGGAATTATTGGGTTTTGCTGCCCTTACGGTGGCCATGTCGAAGGGCTTCCTGACGGCGGTGGCCATCTACCTGACGACGGGATCTGGCATCAGGCGTGTGAGCGTCACGAAACTGCAGGACTTGGGGGCGATGTTGCAGGCCGTGAGCGGGGATTGGATTGTTCTCGGAGATTAGAATGTCCCACCAGATGAGCTTATCTCCAGCGGCGGATGGGCACCGCACCTTCGTGGTCACGTCATGAAGCCAGACAGCGCGAGCTTTACCCAGTATACTGGAGGGCGCATGCTGGGCTACGCGGTGGCGGGCGGCCCTGGCCTCCACCGCCCGTCTCTCTTGTTGGCGGACACGTCTGTCAAACAAAAATCACATGGGCTTGGTGGCCCGGTGCCACGCTGTCCCTGGGAAGGCGGAAGCTACGGCGCTTCCCCAAGTTTTGCCACCTTCCAACCCTTGCCAAGGCAAGGGGCCCCAATGCCAAGCGCAGCCTCGAGCAGGAGGGGGCCGGGCAGGCAGCCCGTGAAAGTGAGCTTTCCGAGGGCAACCCCACCGTGGACACACACACCCTCCCCCCTGGGAGCACCCATCGGCCTCGCTGCCGCCGATGCGTGGCGATGATGAAGAGCCCAGGGGGGGCGACTTTCCCTCTCCCAGATTACGTGTCGCCGTGGACGGGGCGCTGCGTTGGGGGCCATGCAGGTTCGATGGCATTGCCCCGCGTGGCCAGGGACGCGCACCCCCTTGGACTGGGGCCCAGGAGGCCACGGACATGGACGCAGAGTGGCATGCTCAGCGCGACGCTGAGGAAGCTGATTTCATGTTCTTTCTCGATGATAAACCGAGGGACGCAGGCGCGCAGCTGCCAACCCAGGTGGCCAGAGAGGTTCTTTCCTCTGGACGGGTAACCCAGGTGGCCAGGGATGCGCACTCCCCTTGGACTGGGCACGCGGGCGCATGGGACTGCCAGCTCCTCTTCCTCTGGGCAGCTATCGCCCCAGGTGGCCAGGGAGGTGCACCCCCCTGGACCTGGGCCTCAGATGGTCCTCGCTGACGGGGCGGAGAGGCGAGCCCAGCAGGATGACGAGGAGGTTGAGGCACTGGGTATTCTCCATGGTATATCGCGCGGCCTGGCGGACAGCTACCGACCAGGGTGGCCAGAGAAGCGCCTTCCTCTGGACATGGCACAGCTTCCCCATCGGAGGCCAGCGGCGCATGCATGGGCGGCGGGGGCCGCGGGTCTAACCACGAAGGAGATCGGCCTAACCTCGCGCGAACCGTTGTTCCCGAAGCGGCTCTCGCCAAGGCCGCTGCCGTATAGGTATGATTCAGGTGGGGGAAAAAACACACAGACACAATTAATCGTCGATTCCCAGGAAAATATTGGAAAATATAGGAAGTGGGGGGGAAGACAAAAACCCAGAACAGATTGGAAGATATGGGGGATCTCGCTATTTGTATGCATTTGTTTGTGTGTCCGTGGGCCCCTTGAGTGATGTTGTGCTGGGAAGCAACATTGGGAAAGCCCTGGGGAGCAGGACACGTGTCCCTCGGGAGCCGCTCCCCTCCGGACCCGCTTCCATCATGCCGCGTCCCAGGCAGACCGCTCCTCCGCCTCCTACTCCTCCTCCTATTCCTACTCCTCCTCCTCCCTCCTCCCTCCTCCCCCTCCTCCTCCTCCTCCTCCTCCTTCCTCCTCCTCCTTCTCCTCCTCTCCTCCTCCTCCTCCTCCTCCTCTCCTCCTCCTCCTCCTCCTCCTCCTCCTCCTCCTCCTCCTCCTCCTCCTCCTCCTCCTCCTGTTTTCACGGACGGGTCGGGGTTCGAGGGAAGCATGCCTGGCCTGCGCGCGGCGGGATGGGCCGTCGTAGTCCTGGACAGAGAAGGCCGAACCTTGGCGGCGCTCTTCGGCGTAGTACCCTTGGCCGAGGCGCCAGATCAGCTGGCACGCGACGGAGAGGATTTCGCAGTGCTCATGTTGTCTCGTCGAGCGGTCCTCGGACCCCAGGTCTCCCTGTACATCGATTGTGCCGGCACGGTCGGCTGCCTCCGAGATCCGTCGGGGGCCGCCGGTGTGAAGTCAGCCAGGGCACATTGGTGGGCCGAGCTCGGCGATCGTTTAGAAGGTCTGGCAGTGTTTAAGATTCCCGCCCACACGTCGATGAAGGACGTGAGAGAGGGCAAGATCACGGACCTCCAAAGGTTCGGAAATTCAGAAGCAGACCGGCTCGCGAAACAGGGAGCTGAGCAGTATCGCGTAAGTGCCCAAGACAGGCTCCGTGTGTCAGGCTGCTCCGAATTCGCTCGCCGTCTCGGCATCTTCTGTGCGTCGCAGCAGTTCGATTGCAGGGATCTTGCTAAGCAAGATCATGTAGGCCTCGAGTGGCTCAACTATGTTATGCTAGATGCGATCCCGGGCTTCCCCATCCCTTCCTCCTCGGGGGTGGGGTCTGAGCCTGCTGCTGCCGATGCTGCTCCCCCTCCGTCGTCTTGTGGCCCTGTTGAGGCCCCGATCGGCGCCTCACCAGGAGCCTGGAGGCAGATGGGTCACCTGCTGGAGCAGGCCGACATCTATGAAGCCGATCGCGAGACCTTTCATGATAGTTTGCTCATGTGCGTAAGGTGCGGCAGCATGGCGCACACCAGCTCGAAACGTGGCTATCTTCGTTCGTCGTGTCGCCCTGTCGCTGGCGGAGGTCGTGGTTTCTATCTTAATAAGTTTCGAGCTGGTCAGTATCCTGGCCATAGAAATCCAAAGGGGTTTGTTTTGGCACATGTGGGAGCCCCAGCCCCCGAGGTCAGGGCCGAGTGGCTTCCCTTTTTCTCTGCCTGGGCCCAGGGCCTTCCGGGGCCCGCGAAAACCGCGGAGCTCACCAAGTCGGCCGCGCGCGAGGGGCGGCTAGCCCCGCCCGCCGCCGACTGGCAGCGCGTCCTGGCGTTGTACGGCCTATCGGACAGGCCCAGGGTGGGGCGGAGGAGGAGGATGTTCTCTCCCTCCTGGCCTAGCTCCAACTTTTTGTCTGTGCATGTGAATTGGGTCGAACCCTTCTCGGGATGCGTGCGGTGGTCTCCCTCCCCCTCCCTCCCTCCTCCCTCCTATCTCCTCCTCCTCCTTCTCTCCTCCCTTCTCCTCCTCCCCTCCTCCTTCTCCTTCCTTTCCTCCTCCCTCCTCCCTCCCTCTCCTCCTCTCCTCCTCCTCCTCTCCTCCTCCTCCTCCTCTTCTCCTCCTCCTCCTCCTCCTCTCCTCCTCCTCCTCCGCCTCCTCCCTCCTTCTCCTCCTCCTCCTCCTCCTCCTCCTCCTCCTCCTCCTCCTCCTCCTCCTCCTTCTCCGTGACAATCTCGGCACGTCGTCATCCATGTCGGCTTTGCGCACAGCTTCCTGTCGTCGTTCTCGCTTCTCGCCCTGGCGGCCTCCGAGGACTTCCGGGCCTTCCGCAGGCCCTACCACCCGGCCAGGGAGACGGGCATCGTCGACATCCCGGAGGGGCTCCGCCGGAAGATGGTGTGGCGGGCCCCTGCCTCGGCGCGGCGCCTCCCTGCCCGCGGCGCGCCTCCCTCCCGCCGCTCCCCCCAGGGGATCCCCGATGAGAGCAGACACAGCACGCATAATTAGACAGAAACGTTCGGAGATCCGCGAGGACTTCTTCGAGCGGCGCTGGACCCCCTCCCTCGTGCGCGGAGCGCCAGGGGCGGCGCCGCCGGGGGGATCCAGGGCCGATCCAGGAAATGCGCGAGGACATCTGGAAGTTTATGTGTATGTGCTCACTTCGTTGCTCCTCTCAGGGCGGGGAGGATCGGAGGAGGCGTCCCTTGGAGCCTCTGCCTCTAGCTCAGGGCTTAGGTGGTGTTCACTGGTTTAGGCAAGCGCTCAAGCCCCAAAAGAGGGCGCACGCGTGTGTGGGTTGGCGACTGAGCCCCTGAGGCAACCAAGAGACCAAAAGCACGGGACGGGTGGAAAGTGCAGCATCCTTGATTCATCTCCTCCGTTTCTGCTGCTCCTCGAGATGACAGACAGAAACATAAAAACTCGGAGGTCCGCGCGGATTTCTTGGATCGGCATTGGACCCCCCTCCCTGGCGCGCGGAGCGCGCCAGGGGCGGCGCCGGAGGCGCCGCCAGAGGGCGCCAGCGCCGATCCGAGGAATCCGCGCGGACCTCCGAGTTGTTATGTTTATGTCTTTGTGTTTTCCCCCCATGGGGGAGGGGAGGACGAGGCGTCCCTCGGAGCAGCTGTCCTGCCGGGCCCCCCGAGACACCGAGGTGATGCACGAGTACCCCATCGCGGACATCTACGACCTGGCCCGCTGCCCGCCCAAGCGCTGGTCCCAGATCAGCCGCGACCTCGGAGGTGGGTCACCCATTTTCTTGGCAGACCAGGGAGGAAAGGGAGGAGGAGGAGGAGGAGGAGGAGGAGGAGGAGGAGGAGGGAGGGATTGTTTGGATTGCGACTCTGACGAGGCTCGCGACATGTCAGGAGGGGGAGGGAGGGAGGGAGGGAGGGAGGGAGGAAGAGAAGGGAAAAGGAAAAAAGGAGGAGGAGGCGGAGGGAGGAGGAGGAGGAGGAGGAGGGAGGAGGAGGAGGAGGAGGAGGAGGAGGGAGGAGGAGGAGGAGGAGGAGGAGGAGAGAGGAGGGAGGAGGGAGGAGGGAGGAGGAGGAGGGAGGAGGAGGAGAGGAGGGAGGGGGGGGATGCGGGCGGAGGCCGTCGTCGGCCAGTGGCGTCACGCAAGGCGTGCCGTGTTCGGAGGAGGCAGGGGGAGGAGGAGGGAGGAGGAGGGAAGGAGGAGGAGGACACGCGCAGCCACAGCCACAGGAGGGAGGAGAGGAGGAGGAGGAGGAGGAGGAGGAGGAGGAGGAGGAGGAGGAGGAGGAGGAGGAGGAGGAGGAGGGGAGGAGGAGGGAGGAGGAGGGAGGAAGGAGGAGGAAGGAGGAGGGAGGAAGGAGGAGGAAGGAGCAGGAAGGAGGAGGGACTGGGCGGCGCTCATGAGGGGTTGCCACCAGGTGGTCGCCTTCCGAGAAGGCGGGGAGCTTCTCAGGAGGCCGGGGCTTTCTCAGAAGGAGCCCCAAGGCTTCTAGGAAGGAGTATTGGAAGCTGGCAGTGCTTCGAAGAAGACCCCTGCCGTCTTAGACCCCCCCCCCCAAGCATTTTTCGTGTAAGGCTAGCACCCTTGCGCTCTTCGGGCCCTCTTGAGACGTTTTGGCGGCCTCTTGGGGCGCGTTGGGAGGTCTTGGGCCATCTTGAGGCCATCTGGGCAGTATTGGGTGCATCTTGGGCCGTCTTGGAAACATCTGGGGGCATTCTTGGGCTCTCTTGGGGCCATCTTCGCCGTCTTGGAGGCCATCTTGGACGTCTTGGAGGCCTGTTGGGCCGTCTTTGGGCCCTCCTTGGGCCATCTGGGGGGCCTCTTGGATCGTTCTGGGGCCATCTCGGAGGCTTCTTGGGCACTCTTGGGGCGATCTTGATGAGCTCTTGGGCCGTCTTGGGCCGTCGGAAGGCCGAAAAGGAGCAAAAGCCAAAAGCCTTCGAAAACCTAAGGACAAACAAGTATGTTGATCTCTTCGGGACGTCCTGGAGGAACTCTTCGAGGCCTCTTGGGCCGTCTTGGAGGCCTCTTGGAGGGCTCTTGCGCCGTCTTGGGCCGTCTTGGTGTTTCTTGTGCGGACTTGGAGGCGTATTGGACTTTCTTGGGCCGTCTTCGAGGCCATCCTGGACGAACTTGGAGGCCATCTTGGCCATCTTGGAGGCCATATTGGAGCCGTTTGGAGCCGAAAAATCCTTTGCAACCACCTGTTACGCATCTCTGGCGGGACGGGCCGAAACCCTAGGGGGAGTCCTTTTGAAACAGAACCAAAACCAAAAGTGAAAGGGTCTAGCACGCCGGGCACTCCCGTGATGAATCAACAGGGGGCGGCGGATCGAAGTCGCCTACGGCGAATCACCGCCGCCCCCTACCTTTTTGGAAACGCCTATGTGGCCGATCGTTAAGGCCAGAGGCCTGCCAAGCTATCGGACCATGTGTTCCCCGAATCGGTTTGGAAAGCGTTCAGGGAACACGGTGGGCCAGGCTGGGCCGACGTGGGCCTTTCCTGGGGTGCTCCAGGGCCGTCTTGGCGGCCATCTTGAGCGTCTTGGAGGCCTCTTGGGCCGTCTTGGGGGCCTCTTGGGGCCGTCTTGGGCTCTTGGGCCTTTCTGGGGCCATACTACAAATCTTGGGCGATCTTTGGGGGCTCTTGAGCCGTCTCGGGCCGTCGGAAGGCCGAAAAAAGCAAATGTCACAATCCTTCAAAAAACTCATGGGAACTCAATGATTGTAGCCTTTTCTGGCCTTCCTGGAGGCCTCTTGGAGGCCTCTTGGGCCGTCTTGGGCCATCTTAGGGCCATCTTCGGCCGTCTCGGTGGGCTCCTGGCCCGTGTGACGCCGTCGGGGCGCCTCTCTGGGCCGACTTGGGGCCCTCTTGGAATGCTCCAGGGCCGTCTTGGAGGCCATCTTGGGCGTCTTAAAGGCCTCCTGGGCCGTCGTGGGGGCTTCTTGGGGCCGTCTTGGGGGCCTCTTGGGCCGTTCTGGGGTCATCTTGGAGGCCTCTTGGGCAATGTTTGGGCGATCTTTGGGGGCTCTTGGGCCGTCTTGGGCCGTCGGCAGGCCGAACAGAAGCACATGTCAAAATCCGTAAAGAACCTTCGGAAAACCAGTGTTGTTAGCCGTTTCTGGCCTTCCTGGAGGCCCTCTTGGAGGCCTCTTGGGCCTTCTTGGGCCAGCTTCGAGCAATCTTCGACCGTCTTGGTGGGTTCCTGGCCCGCCTGATGCCGTCGGGAGCCGTCTTTGCGTTTTGGGGCCGTCTTGGAGGCCATTATGGGCGTCTTGGAGGCCTCTTGGCCCGTCTTGGGGCGCAACCCTCTGCGCCGTGGAGTCACCAGCAGTAGGGGAGAGGTCGCCCATCTCATCGACAGCCCATGCAAGTCTCAGCGCCTCCAAGTTCGGTCAACTTACGCCGCTGAAGGACGTGCCGCAGCTCGTGGCGAGGATGAATGTTGACCTACCTGGGTGACACTACACGAGCTCCTCAAGGGCCCATTGACTTTTGTTTGGGCTCAAGCAGCTTCGTGGACAAGGTGGACTCTGCATCACAGTATCCCTCGCGATTGACTCCGAATTCGCGTTCAGGTTTCCCGCCAGCAAGGACATGCGGATGCCATGCTCTACCGACCGTGCGCTATGGTTTTACAAGTGTTGGATGGATATCAGGGATGCACGCACGAAGTGAAGTCATATGCACCACACCGCGGTAACACTCTGACTGCCAGTGCGCGAAGCCGCTGCTGGTCAAACGCCTTCTAGGACCAGTGTGTTCCGAGGGGTTGCTCGGCCGCGGCCACCAGTGGAATGGGAGGGGCGCGTTCTCTCTGGCCCCGCTCAGGGCTGCCGTGGAACCGCGACGGCCCGAAGCGAGCGCGTGCCCGCGCTCCCTTCGTTTGTGTTTTTTTTTTTTTTCTGCCCCGGACGCACGGCCGCCAGGAGGCGCGAGCGCGCGGCCCCGCTCGGTTAGCCAGCCCTTGTGTTGCGGCTGCGTCCCCCCGCTTAGCTGTATTCAGTTTCGCGGGCACGCGAGGCCAGCCATATCTCTGCCCAGTGCGGGACCAGCCTCATCGGCGACTTTCGGGGTTGTCTGGGCTGCGCGTTGGCTGGCTTAGCACAGGCTCCACTTGGGCAGCCTACTTTTGCTCTGTTAGATTTGGGTGCTAAGCTCACTGGTCCAGGAGACACGACCCAGTACGTTGCGCTTTCGTTCGTTCCTGGCCCCTGCCTCGCTGCAACTGAGGCAGCCGCGGCGGCTACCTGACACTTTGCCGCCGCCGTGGGGTCCACATAGGGACAGCAGCGGTCAGGCTTCGTTCCCGCCCCCCTCGGCTTTGAGGGTCTGTCCCAAGGGGGGAACATAAGCCTGCCTGATACCGTTGCCGTCGTGGTTCAAAGCCGCACCGCACAATTTGCCAGCATCGGCGGCGCAGATTCACACATTACATTACCATTCCGTTCCATCCTTTCGCACTACCGGTTGCACAGTCATGTTTTGGAACACCCGCTTTTCATTCCTAGAGCCATCTTGGGGGATATCGATCAACGGATATGAGCCCCTCCATCCAAATGTGGCCAGAAACCTTTCTGGGAATATCAGCGATTGTGGTTTCCTCGCCGAGGCCACCTTGGACGTTCCAGCCCTTCGCGACAAGGCCCCGTCCACACCCAGGGGGAGGGGTTACGGGGAGGGGTCAAGACTCCCTCCCCGCTCGCAAGCCGTCTCGCTCACTCCCATTCGCCCTCCCAACACTTACGTAGCCCGAGCCGCAGCATATTCAGCAGTCGCCTTTGGATGGGCAGCTACTGGGGGCGAAACCGCCGCCGCCGCCGCCTCCGCCGCCGCCTCCGCCGCCCGACGCCGCCGCCGCCGTTCCGCCGCGCCGCCGCGTCCGCCGCCGCCGCCACCGCGCCGCCCGCCGCCGCCGCCGCCGCCGCCGCCGCCGCCGCATCGCCGCCGCCGCAGCCGCTGCCGCCGCAGCCGCTGCGGCCACCGCTGCCGCCGCCGCCGCCGCCGCCGCCACCGCCGCCGCCGCCGTCGCCGCCGCCGCCCCCGCCGCCGCCGCCACCGCCGCAGCCACCGCCGCAGCCGCCGCAGCCACCGCCGCAGCCGCCGCAACCGCTGCCCCCGCCGCTGCCGCCGCCGCCACGTGTAGTCTATAGTGTTTGTTGACAGGGATGGTGGGGGGAGGCCGCATCGGGTTCGCTGCGCATGTTCCGAATTTGGAGGCAGAGTGTGGTTTGCATTGTTGTTTTACGAGGGATGGTGGGGGGGTCGCATGGCTTCGGGTCGGCTCCCAGTCGCCAGGGGGAGGGGGTGTATAGCAATAGGGAGCAGTGGTCAAGACACCCCCCTAGACGGCAGACCTTCTAGGCCACCCCCACACGCCACCCCAACACATAAATAACACCCGAGTGTCAGCAGATCTTTTCGCACGCCACACATGCCATGCGCGCCACGGGTTCCAGGTGCACCAGCACCTTGGAGGCCCAAGCGGGCCAGGCGCGGCACATGCTCCACGTGCTCCTGTTACCGGGGGTGGACAGACATCCTACCCTGACACGTCGGTTAAGGAATTGGCCGTTTTCGGTTCGCGAGAGGGCGTCGCGGCCGTGATTTGTGCGGGTTCAGGTCCGTCGGTTTCGGTCCCAGGCCGTTTTCACGAAAGGGAGATGTATCAAAAGGAGGTTTGTCCACCGCCGATACCATGCCACGTGTTCCAGCCGCGCCAGGTGCGCCAACCACAGAGAAACAGTGGGGGCCCCAAGGCGCCTGCGGCGGTGGCCCCAGGGAGATCTGGCTCTTGCACCCCCGTGGAGCGAAGTGCCGAGCATCCTGTGAGAAGGGCGGCTCCTCCAAGGAGCGCACTGCACGGGCACCGATGGACACATTGCGACTGCTTGAGAGCTCCGAGAAAAGAGGGCCCTGCGCATGTTCAAGATTTGGAACCAAATTGTATTGTTTTTAGTGGATGTGTGACACGACGGTTGGCCTGTGCGCAGCGAGCAATAATGTCGGCACTCCCACCGCTCCTGTGAAAAACCTATGCATCGTGGTCGCGGGCGCCCGCGCATGCGCCACGTTTGGACGCAAAGTGCATGTTGCATTGTTTTTGTCAAAGGATGGTGAGGAGGAGGGGGCTCATTGGTCCGGGTTGGCCTGCTGGTCGTCTTTGGGGAGGCTTTCCCCGAAGGGGAAGAAGAGGGGGGGGCAAAGAAACGCTCTAAACCACTCACGCTCAGAGGGCTGGTGGGATTGCTGCGATTTCTCGTGCCCGCCAGGTTGCTCCGATCGGTGGTGCCCTCTGATTGGCGCTTTATGATGCCCCAGCTGTCGCGATGTCTCGTTCCCTCCCCGGAGTTCCTATGGGTGGTTCTTTGTTCTTTCTCGGTTCCTTACGATGCTTCTGCGGTTGCAATTGATCGTTCCTACCATTGTGTCGTATGGGCGGTCGGTATGACATATGATGCATCAGTCATAGTTCTTTCTAGTGGCCCGCATTTCCCGCCCTGGCGCATTCTAGCTCTCGCCCTATGCGCGGAGCCCTATCATGCTTCAGCTGTCGCGATATCTGGTTCCCTCCCTTGTGCCCTGTTGTTAGTGTTCGACGGCTCATGCCTCACGGCTGCGGTACCCTGTCAAGTTTCAGTTGTCGCGATTTCTAGTTCTTGCCTTGATCCCTGCCCCATGGCTGGTTCTCTAGTCCTGGTGCCTCTGGCTGGTGCACTCTGGCTGGTGCCGATTCAGTTGTCGAGATGTTTGGTGCAGGCCGTGGTACCCAATAACTGGTGCCCATGGCCAGTGCCAATAGCTGGTGCTCTAGCGCACGATGGCTGGCGCCCTGCGATGCCACAGGTTTCGCATTTCTGGTTGCCGTACTGGTACCCTGTGTCCAGTGCCCTGTGAACCACGTGGAGCTAATGTGCCCACGTGTCATACGGGAGCTAATGCACTCGCGAAGCGTGCGGGAGCCTACATGTTCGCGTGGTGTGTGTGTGTGTGGGGGGGGGGGGATCTCACGTAATCACGACGGTGCGCTGAGGCCGCCAAATTCACATGGTGTCGAGCGGCTCGCGTACTCGCGTGGTGTGTAGCTCATGAGGCGCGTCCGAGCTTTGCTCCGACTCGCGTGGGAGCAGCCCCTTCCGGAGCAGTCGCACGCGGCCGGCGGCCAGGTGCGCATTGCATCTTCGATTGTACATACAGTGCAGTTTTTAATACATGTTCCGCGTGCGGATCATGTATTAAAAGTGCAGGGATTTAGTATTAAAAACAACGATGAGTTCATGCGTAAATTTAGTCATACGTTGATCATGTATTAAAAATCCGATGTTGTTAAGAATCCTATCTATTAAAAATTGCCCTGCCGAAAAGGGCCTGGCCTATGGGATAGAAGGAGTTGCCATCTCTTCCTCGGCGGAAGGTGGCGGAAGAGCCGCGTAAGAGCCGCGGAAGCAGAACGAGGCCGCCTCCGCCCGCGGAAGCTTGGCGGAAGGGCGGCGGAAGGCGGCAGGAGTCAGAGGTGCGCGCCCGAGAGACGGAAGCGCTTCTGGGCTCAGGGTTTCGAAATCCGCCATCTGTTTCGGGTTGACCCAGAAGGGGGTCCAGCGACAAGGGGGTGGTGCAATAGATTTGGTGCAGTAGATTTGTAGGGCTGCAATACATTGGGCGCGTGCAACACATTTCGGGGCGCAAGTGTATGGCTGCATTTTCGCGTGCAATGCATTACTTGCCATACAATGCAGTACAATTCTCCAGCGCAGTGCATTCGCAATACAATTGCCCCAATTCTATTGCACCACCCCCTTTCAGCTGGACCCCCTTTTGGGTCACCCAAACTGCTGCACCACACAGCTCGTCTGCTGAGCGCGACTGCGAGAAAACGGCGGTGCGGGGCCCCCGCCGGCAGTGCTCTGTCCGGTGGCTTGCGGGCCCTGTGCCTTGGGGGGCCCCGTGCGGTGTCTCCGGGGAGCTTCTCTTGGGGCGTCTTCTGGTCGTCTAGGGTTCAGTTGGGCGTGCCCCTCTCCAGGGGGAAGATGCAAGAGTACGCTTCGAAATAGTCTCGGGGACGATTGTTCTACTATGCTTGGCTATTTTTGCGTAGCTTGTCGGCTACCTGTCTTTCTCGTCCGAAAGCCGACTGTAGGAGGACATGCCCGACCTGGGGCGGGGAGGCACCTGGGCACCTGGCCCGGCATCTCGCTGAGCTCAAAGTTTGGTGCGCTGCAGCGTTGGGCCCTGGGGAGCGTACGCGGCACACCACGGAGGCGCACAGGAGTTCCCGCAGTCCTGAAGTCGGGTGCTCGGGGGATTCGGAGCCGAGCCATGTGCAGCACTCGCAAGAGATCGAAGGAACAAACGGCGTAAACATAAACTTGCTGGTGCTCCACGAGGATTTCTTGGCCGGCGGCGCCTCAGGCGCCGCCCCTGGGGGGTCCAGCGCAGACCCAAGAAATCCGCGCGGAGCGCCAAAGTTTTATGTGTATGCCTCGTCGATATTCTAAGAGAACCGTGGGGCATCCCACTGCGTACCAAGGCAAGTTAGCGTATGACATTTCTCGGTTGGAATTCACGCTGTCTGAGTGCTGCGCTGCCTGATGGGGCTTGGAAGATCGTTTTTGCCATATTTGTCTTCTTCTATGTCTCCCGCTTCACATACCAGCTTCATGGTGCAGTCACGCACAAGTTCTGGCAGGCCGATCGCATCATGTGCATTGCGATCTTGGGCCCGTTTACATAATCCGCCAGTACGCTTCTGGATTTCGTGCATCCATCACTCACTTATGCTTGCTCGGTGGCAGGCGTATCGCATGCCGATGTCATGGCACACGCGCTCCGGTACATGAAGACGCAGGCGCCGCGTAGGAGCAACATGCCAAGGGACAGGCAGGCAGGAGGCGTGGGTCACGAATCTGGAAGCAGCAGTTGTGTTCGCATGGAGGCAAATATAGACAAGCAAACAAAAGCTTTTCCTACAGCAATGACTTCCACAGATGCGTGTGGTACACAGGTGATGCCCACGTGTCAGACGCAGTGGGGTGCAAACACTGTCACCGTCAGTGCGCGCGCCAAAACATACGCACCTACGTGACGGAGGTAATGGACAATCCAGCAGTTGAAACGTTTGAGAAAGGTCTTTGCGGCCAATTGCCGTGGACCCGGTGGAAGAATCCCATCCGACATTGGAGTTTTTTGGACCAAAGCGGGGCTACCGTTGTGTTTGAATACGGCCTCGATATCACAGATTGGCATCCGTTCGTTCTCTCTCGTAGTTTCCGTGGCCTCGCCGTAGCCACTCTTGCAGTTGCCATTCACCAGAAACGCCATGGTCACCACCATCAGTGTAGTATGGGCCACGCATCATAGTCGTCATGACCATCGCAGTCGTCACCGGGATCATCACAATCATGGGCTTCACCGTAGTACTCGGATACCTACGATCGCCATAGCACACGCCACAACCCCAGACCTCGATCGGTCGCACGATCTGTCGGTCTCACTATCCATCTGCATGCTGAGATACGTCTACCAATCTCATTATATAATGTCTCTAGACGGAGCAGCCACGGGACAACCACGGGCAGCCACGGCATAACCACGGGACAAACACGGGACGGACAACCAAGGGGTAATCATCAGGATAATCTCGGGATAACCACGAGACCTCCTAGGCACAATTAACGGACAAACATCGAGACAGCCATCGTTACAACCACGGGGACCGTGGGACCACCACAGGACAGCCTCGGGACACCGATTCAACGCTCTATACCATTATCAAGAGATTGGCCGTTCTCACGGACGGTCGGTCTCACAATTTATCGATTGATTCCATGGTCAGTCCATCCGTCAGTCACATTACCCATCGGTCGCACTATCCGTAGACATGTATACATCGTTCGCGCTATTCATATCCAACGGAGGTTGGGGGGCGAGATCGAAGTGGAACGGAGAGCCCCACACCTGGAAATCAGTCTCGGTTTCGGGTTCGTCCCGTGCATGCGGGCGAGGCGAAGCTGCGAGGACGTGTGAGAGGAATGATTCCGCTGTCGCTAGGGCGGCCAAGAGCCGTTGACAGCCCCTCCTCCCTCCCCGATGGGCGGGCGTTGGCCCGGTTGTCCCGCTGTGGTGTCCCGTCGCTCCCCGCCTCTCCCCCGCGGCGGGCGGGCTGTGGTCGGATTATCCCGCCGTGGTGTCCCGTCGGTGTCCCGCTGGTGTTGCGTTGCTGCTCCCGTCGCTGTCCCGTCGTTGTCCCGTCGTTGTCCCGTCGTTGTCCCGTCACTGTCCCGTCGGTGTTTCATTGGTGTGCCGTCGGTGTGCCGTCGGCGTCCCGTGGTGAGACAGTGAGATCGATAGTGAGGCCGATAGTGGAATCGATAGAGAGAGAGAGAGATCGAGCGAGTGGTATCGATAGTAAGACCGATGGTGAGATCGATGGTGAGATCGAAAGTGAGATCGATTGGTGCCCCGATGGTGTCCCGTGGTGCCCCGTCGGTGTCCCGTCGGTGTCCCGCGGGCGTCCCGCTGCTGTCGCGTAGATGTCCTCTGGTGTCCCGTGGTGAGATCGATGGTGAGATCGAAAGTTAGATCGATTGGTGTCCCAATGGTGTGCCGATGGTGTCCCGTGGTGTCCAGTCGTTGTCCCGTCGGTGTCCCGCGGGTGCCCGTCGGTGTCTTTTCGGTGTCCCGTCGGCGTCCCGTCGCTGTCCCGTGCTGAGATCGATAGTGACACCGGCAATGAGATCGATAGTGGGATTGACATTGAGATCGATAATGGGATCATTAGTGAGATTCCTCTCGCTTCGCGGGGTGCACGTCCGGAGCACGTACAGTCCAGTCGTTTTTGTGCCTCGTGGCAGCCTTGGGGGCCTCTTGGGAGCCTCTTGGGGTCCTCTTGGGGCCTCTTTGGGGCTTCTTTGGGGCCTCTTGGGGCCTCCTGGGGACGTTTTGGGCCGTCGTGCGGCGCTCTTACGCCGTCTGGCCCCTTCGGAGGCCATCTTAGAGGCCCCTCGCGGCCGCCTTGGGGCTCTGTTGGGGTCCTCGTTGGCTCATTAGTGAGATTCCTTTCGCTTCGCGGGGTGCACGTCCGGAGCACGTACAGTCACGTCGTCGCGGGGCCTCTTGGGGGCCTCCTGGGGGCCTCCTGGAGGCCTCCTGGGAGTTTCTTTGGGCCTCTTGGGGGCTTCTTTGGGGCCTTTCCCCATCCCTCCTTTTCATACACCCTCCCCATCTTCCCTTCCAGCGCCGGCTCGAATCATGGGCGCCGCAGTGACCAATTTCCACCTGGCTGGCGCTGCGCCGCAGTTCGCCCAGAGGGGGGGAAATAACATTACACTCCACTCGCTGTGTGGCCTTGTGGGGGGCTTTTGGGAGCCTTTTGGAGGCTTCTGGGGGACTTCTTGGAGGCTTCTTGGGGGCCTCTTGGGGCCTCTTGGGGGCGTCTTGGGCCGTCTTGGAACGCTTTTGCGCCGTTTCGCCCCCTTGGAGGCTGTCTTGGGGGCCTCTCGCGGCCGCATGGGAGCCCTCTTGGGGGTCCCTTGGGCCGTCTTCGCGGCCTCTTGGACCGTCTCGGGGGCCTCTTTGGGCTGTTCTGGGGCCTTTTTAGGCCGTCTTGGGGCCCTTTTGGGGGCTTGTTGGGCTGTTTCGGGGCGATTCTGGAAGCTGCTTGGGCCGTCATTGATTTTCGAGAGTCGAAAAAGGCGAGAACGCTAGCATATTGCAAAAACTGTAGGAAAATCAATGACTTGGGTCTCTGGAGGCGCAGTTGTGGGCGCTCTTGGGGCCCTCTTGGGCCGTCCTTGGGCCTTTTGGGGCCGTCTTGGGGGCCTCATGGGTCCCCGTTGGGGATATCTTGGGCCATCTTGAGGCCCTCTTGGAGTCCCCAGAGGCCCAAGAGGCAGAATTTGTTGATTTTTCATAGGTTTTGGTAGGTTTGGGGCCCGGGAAGGAGGGCCGATCATTTTGGTCCGTTCCTGCGGCGCGGCTCCCAAGGGGGGGTGGGGGGGAGACATAATAATGTAACACAACGCAACATGTGGCAATTATGCAATCATTGATACATTGGATGCGTTGCATTAAGGCGTTCGCCGAAAAACGCTGCCGCTCAGCACGTCACCTCCGGACGTGGATTCCTCTTGGGCTGTATGGGGGCCTTGGAGGCTGCTTGGGTCGCCCTGGGCCTGCGAGAAACGGAATAAGCGAGAACACAAAAATCTTCAAAACCCTAGGGGAAATCTAAGATTTTGGCCGCTGGAGGCACTCCTGGGGGTCCTCTTGGGGACCTCTTGGAGCGTTTTGGGGGTGTTTTTTTTACCTTTTTGGCGCCATTTTGGGCCGTCCTGGGGCCGTCTTGGGCCGTCTTGGGGGCATCTGGAGCCTTCCTGAGGCCTTGTTGACACGCCCAAATCATGGATTTCCCATACGTTTTGGTACGTTCTGGGGCCCCAAACGGGGAGGCGCCACTTTGGTACGGCGCTGTGGCGCGACTCCAGGGGGGGGTTAGGGGGGGAGACATAATATTGCAAAACGGTACAACATGTAGCAATTATGCAATGCGTAGATACATTGGACGCGCTGCATTACAGCATGCGCGGACCTGCCCCCGGCAACACGTCACTTCCGGACGTGGATTCCTCTCGCTTCGCGGGGTGCACGTCCGGAGCACGTACAGTCACGTCGTCGCGGGGCCTCTTGGGAGCCTCCTGGGTGCCTCCTGGAGGCCTCTTGGGAGCTTCTTTGGGCCTTTTGGGGGCTTCTTTGGGGCCCCTCCCCCTTCTCCTTTTCATACTCTCTCCCCATCTTCCCTTCCGGCGCCGGCTCTAATCATGGGCGCCGCCGTGACCAATTTCCACCTGGCTGGCGCTGCGCCGCAGTTCGCCCAGGGGGAGAAAAATAACATTACACTCCAGTCGTTGTGTGGCCTTGTGGGGGTTTCTTTGAGGCCTCTTGGAGGCTTCTTGGGGGTTTCTTGCAGGTTTCTTTGGTTTTTTGGGGAGCCCCTTGGGGGCCTTTTGGGGCCTCTCGTGGCCTCTTGGGGGCGTCTTGGCCGTCTTGGGGCGGTTTTGCGCCGTTCCGCCCCTTCGGAGGCCGTCTTGGGGGCCTCTCGCGGCCGCCTTGGGGTTTTTTGGGGGTCCTCTTGGGCCGCTTCAGGGTTTTTTGGGGATCGCCTTGGGGGCCTTTTTGGGGCCGTCTTGGGGCCTTCCTGGGCCGTTTGGGTGCCCTTCTGGGGGCTTATGGGGCCTTTTTGAAATAATTTTGGTGGCTGCCTGGGCGGCCATGGGCTTCTGAGAGTCGAGGAAAGCGAGAACGCTGAAATCATAAAACAACAATTGGAAAATTTATGGTTTTGGCTTCTGGAGGCACTGTTGGGGGTCGTTTGGGGGCCCTCTTGGGACGTTTTGGGAGTTTATTTGGCCCTTTTGGGGGCCATCATGGACCGTCTTGGAGCCGTCTTCGCCCGTCTCGAAGCAATATGGAGCCGTCTTGAGGCCCTATTGGGCCTCCCAGAGGGCCCAAAGTCCCGAATCATCGATTTTACATAGGTTTTGGTACGCATTTGAGCCCCAGATGGGGGTTTCCATTTTGGGTCCACGGATGTGGCGTAGCCCCTGGGGGGGGTTCTTAGGGGGGATACATAATAATGTGACAAAATACCATATGTTGCAATTATGCAATCTTTGGATACATTGGATACGCTGCATCATCGCATCCGCAGAAAACGCTCCCGCTCAGCACGTCACCTCCGGACGTGGATTCTAGATGCTTACGCCACATCCGCCGACCCCGCTATACAGTACTGCGCGCACAGGACTGCATTCCACGAGGCTTGTCCGATTCCTGGGAGGTTCTTGGGGG